TCAAATCCAATGAAATTTAGGATATTCTTGCTTTACCCAAAAATAATACTATGAGATAAAGTGTGAAAGAATACCTTATTTAAAAAAGAATAAAATACTAAAATATCCCAAAAGTGTACATCAAAATTTTTTTTTGACCCTAATATCTTGAAAATTTGACTTTGTAGCAAATATGCCCTGAACATCAACTAATGTTAATTTTGACTGTTAAATCATCTTGCTTGACTTCTAATTCCTTAGGTGGCAGTCACACGCGCTTTGATTTTCCTACCTCGTGCTCTCTAGTCTCTCCCTTTCACTCTCGCCCCTTCACTCTTTCTTTGAAACTAATCCTCTCTCCCTCATTCACCCTTTCTCTGAAACTGAAAAGGAACTCAGAGTGACTGAGAGACCGAAGGCATGAGAAAGAAGCTGTCGAAGAAGAGGAAACACAGAGAGAGAGAGAACTCGTCGATCTCAAGCTTGACGCCATGGAATATGTCATATCTAGTTCCTTCAGTCAGGTCTTCTGCCCCGATAACTTTGGATTTGGCTAATCCGATGCCAGTAACAATGAGAGCAGGTTGGAGTCTCGCCGGCGATAAGCGTTCACCTGGTTGTTTGGGACCAAGACGGATTCTCACCGACGAGTGTTCGCCTAGTTATTTGGGAGTAAGACAGATTCTAGTCGGCGATAAATGTTCACCCGATTCTCGTCGACGAGTTCAACATTTAAACGCGACAAAATCGCCTCGCTAACCTGTCTCATCGGCATTCTGGTGTATGGAGATAAATGGAAATTTTTTCTTTTTGCGGATTCATTTGGTTTCTTCCTCCACTCATCTACTTTCTCCTCAATGATAAAGATCAATGATCAAGTTTTGTGCAAAGATTCTGCAACATTGGATCTTCAAACATGATTTATGTTATGGTGGGTATTTGATGGGCTAGCTTGTGATTTTAGTTGGGTGATTTTCCATCTTTGTGCAGATTCAGTGGAGCAATTGACGTTGAACGGTGCGTGAACGGGACGAGGAAGATTGGGCACATTCTGAGGAAGATTGCATCTCGTGACAAATTTTGTTGTTGTGAATCTTATTTCTGGGTTTGATTAAATTATATATTTGATTTTTTTTTTTCCAGTTTTCGACGACAGTCGTGGCTGTGAATTGAGGGTGAGGGAAAGGAAAAGGAAAGGAGCTTTAGAGAGAGGATTAGTTTTATGCTATGTTTGGATGGAGAGAAAATAATGAAGGAAAGAAAACTAGAAAGAAAAATAAGAACAGAAGAGGTTTTTCTCTTGTTTAGAAAAAGGAAGAAAAGTGGGATAAAAGAAAAGTCAGGTAGAAAATGAAGTGGATTTCATAGCCTATTTTCCTCTTAATTTTTTTCTCCATATAATGAGAAGAAAGCATATTTTTTCTCTCTACCCTTACATATATTTTTTCAGCAAAATAATACTTATTTTATTTATTTATTATTATCAAGTTTTTCTTCTGTGTTTGCTTGGTTGAAAAATAAAATAATTAAAATGGTAAAAATCCTTCTAAAATGAACTAAAAAAAACAAGTAGAGTTATCATTTTAGTTTTTTAGCATTACATTACACAAAATGTTATCTTTTTCTTTTTTTTACAAAATTATTTGATATTAAAATATAATAACATGATAATATATCTTTATCAAATAATTTGATTTTAAATTATATGATTATGTTAATGTAAATATGGTTTTTCATTATGATATTTAATTTGATTTTAATCAAGATATATTTTGATATGACAAAAAGAATATTTTAGTCATTCACCTATTTACTTATTTTCTTTCCTTTCTGTTTTCTCTTGTCTATTTAAATATGAGAAGTGATAATATTTTTTTTTCTAATTTTCTCTTTTCTTATTTTTTTTCCTCTCAACTTCTCTTCCCATCTAAACAGAGGGTTAGAAAAAGAGTGAAGGAGGGAGAAAGAAGAGGGGATAAGGTGTAATGATGAGGTGGAAAGATCAAAGTGCATGTGGTTACTGGCTAAGCAATTAGGAGTCAAACAATTTGATTTAACGGTGAAAATTAACATTAATTAATGGTTAGATATATTAGTTACGAAATTAAACTTTCAGAATATATTACAACAAAAAAAAAAGAAATTTTAAGTGTTGAGTACTTTTTAGCATACACTTCTAAGGTAATTTAGCACTTTATCCTAAAAAAATCAAAACCACATGGCTGTCAGATTGGCAGGCCAACCAAAAAAGAAAGGAGTAATTTGATTAAAATTAATGTTTTAACATCTGAATCGGAAATCGAACTAGAAAGAACAGTAGTTCACAGTATTTATAGTTTAAAATTGATCTAATCGTCGATCGAATTAGTAAAATAATAATTAAATAAAAATATTATACGTAAGTAGTGGTATACTAAACTGAAATAAAATAAATACTAGCACACAAAATAAACATAATATATTTACAAAAATAATACACAATAATATTAAATAATCTAATCAAGCATTTTTTTTCTTATCTTCTTCCTTATATTATTGTCAATACTTTTAGATTTTTTCTGACTCTTCAATCTCATCTCACTCTCAGCTATATTCTTAATCGTTTAATCAAAAAGATATTTAGTAATGGTTTTCTTTAAATATTACTATGTATATACTACCTCCAATCTTTAATATAAGACTTTGTTTGACCTTTATTTTAGTTCTAAATATAAAATCTCAATCTACTTTATCTTTCATATTTATACGTTTTTTTTCTAAAGTAATCATTCTAATAACGATAGGTCTAGATAACAAACTTAATTAGCAAAGATATTTTAGAAAAAACAACACATATTCATTACAAATAACTAATTTAATTAAGTTTTTTTATCTTTCCAAATCAGTCAAATGAGTCTTATAATTAGAATAAGAAGAAGTACTAATTAGTTAAAATAAGATAACAGCATGGCAAATAAAAACATGTCATAACATATGCTCATGTCTTTTCCGATATTACGTTTACAGTTAACCTATTCCCTTGTCGAATACCAATACTTTTTGACTGTTGGACAACCACCCTTTTACCGGGGCATTAAACTTTAACACTGGGATCATGAACATGAATTTTAGTTCGGGAAAATTACCCTCAGATTCTACAGAAGATAATTAATTTAAAAAAAGTCCTTGAAAATTTCAAAATGATTCTGAAGTCTCCGGGGACCTATGTGTAATTATTTATAATTGTAAAATTACTTATTTACCCCTATTAATTTTATTGTAACAATTCATTTGCCACTTCAACAGTAGCTATTAACAACCCAAGAAGAAGTGGTCGACAACCTCGATAGTGCTCTTGACACTCATCTGTGGGATGCCAGGGGCATTGCCGAGGTTGTTGACCACCTCTCCTCAAGTTGTCAATAGTCACTGTTGAGGTTGTAAATGAATTACATTGGGTTTAGTTAAAATAAGATAACAGCATGGCAAAATAAAAACATGTCATAACATATGCTCATGTCTTTTCCGATATTACATTTACAGTTAACCTATTCCCTTGTCGAATACCAATACTTTTTGACTGTTGGACAACCACCCTTTTCCGGGGCATTAAACTTTAAACACTGGGATCATGAACATGAATTTTAGTTCGGGAAAATTACCCTCAGATTCTACAGAAGATAATTAATTTCAAAAAAGTCCTTGAAAATTTCAAATGATTCTGAAGTCTCCGGGGACCTATGTGTAATTATTTATAATTGTAAAATTACTTATTTACCCCTATTAATTTTTTGTAACAATTCATTTACCACTTCAACAGTAGCTATTAACAACCCGAGAAGAAGTGGTCGACAACCTCGATAGTACTCTTGACAACTCACTCTGTGGGATGCCAGGGGCATTGCCGAGTTGTTGACCACCTCTCCTCAAGTTGTCAATAGTCACTGTTGAGGTTGTAAATGAATTACATTGGATTCAAATTAATGAGGGTAAATAGATAATTTCACAATTATAATTAATTACACAAAGGTCCCTGGAGATTTAGGAATCATTTCGGGATCTCTAGAGACTTATTTGAAATTAATTGTCTTCTGTAAAACCTGAGTGTAATTTTCCTTTTTAGTTCAGGATGGCGGGGAGTGTGGCTTTCTAAATGATTCATGAGGGCTTGCCATAGAGGTTTTGGCTTATGCTTTCGCCTCGCCTCACTCAACCATCAAATAGACTTGATCAAGAAAGGCAGACGCCAAACAAATTTGGCAAATGCACAGTACGAAGCACAGGACTGTAAGATTGCTGTTCAACCAACAGAAGGTGATTTCTAGGGCTCTATAATGAGGTTCTAATGAGGTTCGAGCTTTAGAAACTCTGTGAGTTAGCATTCAAAAGCACATATAAGTACCTTTTATATAAATTGAGACAAAGCTCCTCTCACATACTTATCTTATACTCTGTAAATTATCATTAAAAAGCTTTTTATAAGCCATTTCAAATGATTCCTTAACATCATCAAATAGCTTTTCTTTTAACACTAACCAATTCCTTAATATAAGAGTTAAATAACTAATTTGGAAATATAAAAAAATTAGTTAAGTTGGTTAATTATTATAAATGTGTGTTGGTTTTTCTAAATTATCTTTTTAATCATATGCATTAGATTATTAGAATTATCTCTTGATAAAAACACTTACAATCAATAAAGAAATTTTTAGAAAAGATAAAAAATAAAGTGAACCAAAATTTTTATTTAAGATTAAATCTAATATTTAAATTAACTCTTATATTATTAAGAATAGAAAGTAGTATGTAGTTTCTTGTGACATTCCCATTGTCAGTTCTGCAAAATCTAGTCTCCTGATATTTACCATAGAATACCTTTCATTGGCTAGAGAAGCAAACGATCCATCTAGCTTCTGTAGGGTCCAACGGCGCGGCCTTTTGGGTTAACGACATGACACGTGGCGCCTTATCCAGTTGAACTTTTGCCGCTATTTCCCTCGCTATTGAGTGTTCTCCTCACAAGCAGCGCTGGCTCACAGTGCCTGTCCAGAGTGACACAGAAAATGGCTTCTTCAATGTCGGTGTGCTTCTCCTCCAAAGCTCTAGCTCGACCCAATACTCAGAATCCTCGCAGAAGCACTAACAAAAAGCAGTTCCGAAACCCTAAGATCAGCCCTAAATTTAAGAAGCATATCGGCACATACAGACCGCCGCCTGAGCCGGTGATGCTTCCCGGCGGCGAAGCCACCACCTATACTCGTCTTCCTCCGAAGGATGACTATGAATACTCCGCTCCCTCATTGGAAGTCAAGCTTTATGAGGCAAGCCCGGCAACAATTAAGGAAGAAGTTGATGAGCTGCTGGACGAAGAGGAAGAAGATGACCTCATTGATGAAGATGTTGTTCGTGGTAATTTGGGAAGAAACTATAAGAAATTCGGAATTTTTGAAGTCAATGATGATTCTGAATATGAATATGGTGACGGAGAAGAACTAGAAGAAGAAGATGATGACGACGACGACGATGAAAAGTTGGGTTTTATGGGTAGCCCAAATGCGAGCATTTCTAGCAACGACGGAGGGGTTGATTTATTGGAGTTTCAAAATGGTGACTATGTCGCTTTATCCGACGATGCTGAGGACATTTTTGAGGGGGGAGCTATAAAGGAGAAGGGTGTGCCGGCTGTTATGCGATGTTTTGACCGTGCCAAAATATATGTGAAGGCCGGGGATGGCGGAAATGGAGTCGTAGCTTTCCGTCGTGAGAAGTACGTGCCACTGGGTGGCCCGTCTGGTGGCGATGGAGGGAGAGGAGGAAATGTCTATATTGAAGTTGATGGGTCTATGAATTCACTTTTGCCGTTTCGGAATAGTGTGCATTTTCGGGCGGGAAGGGGAGCTCATGGACAGGGAAGGATGCAAAGTGGGGCTAAAGGAGAAGATGTGGTAGTGAAGGTGGCTCCAGGAACAGTGATAAGAGAGGCGGGAAAAGATGAAGTGGTATTGGAATTGCTACATCCCGGGCAGAGAGCATTATTGTTGCCAGGTGGCAGAGGTGGGAGAGGAAATGCATCGTTTAAGTCTGGGACGAATAAGGTCCCCAGGATTGCTGAGAATGGCGAAGAGGGTCCAGAGAAGTGAGTTCTCCTCCGGCCTAAATTGTGTTTTCTTGCCCTCTGCTGTTTTGGCTCTCATTAAATTCTGTTTTATCTGATAGTCGTTGTCTGCATTCTGCTTCTGTTAATTCTGCTAATGAGATTATTTTGGATCAATCAAATTGTAGTCCTTCAATTGCAGGACAACGTGGAAGTCCTTCAACTGTGAAATATGCAATGTGATTTGTGAACAAATATGCGTGAGAAGAGTATTGTCATTTATTTGAATGGGGTGAGAGACTTATATATGGTTTGGGTGAGTTGGGTGGTTCATGTTAACGGTTCTCTTATGGGCTAGGAGAACTGACTACTATCTTCCTGGCTCATCTCATAACTCTTTGTAATATGGAAAGGAGGCTTGACCGCATTCAAAAGTATTGTTGTTTGCATCTGAAATGAAAATGTGTGTAGTTGTGCTATTAGAAAAGACATGTATAGTTGCCGGTGCTTGTTGTGATGATAAAATGTATTTGTTTATTTATTTTCCTGCATCTCAGCCCATGTGTTTATTTATTAAGAATAACCCCCCCTTTTTTGGGTCAGATGGTTCGAGTTAGAGCTGAAACTGGTTGCAGATGTTGGTATAGTTGGTGTTCCAAATGCGGGGAAAAGTACACTTTTGAGTGTGATCAGTGCTGCCAAGCCAACAGTGGCAAATTACCCTTTTACAACACTGCTTCCTAATCTGGGCGTTGTTTCCTTTGACTATGATTCAACAATGGTCGTGGCAGACCTCCCTGGTCTACTTGAAGGGGCACACCGAGGTTTTGGTTTAGGTCATGAGTTTCTAAGACACACTGAAAGGTGCTCTGCCCTGGTAAGTACACATGGTCATGACGACTACATGTATGTTCTCTTCTGCTTCTTGTGGTTCCATTGACATACCAATCTTAAAGCATGGAGCTATGTTCACCAATAGACCCTGCATCCTTTCTCCCCTGAAACTGGTGAATTGTGAAACTTTTCTGCGTTTTTCTTTATAAAACTCATGTGATTGATCTTTGCAAAATTTTCTTTTCTTAATGACCCTTAAGTGTTAATACTGGGCACTGCCAAGGATTTTATAATTGAGCCACAATAAATTGCACATTTGCAGTTGTTTTGGTTGATCAACAGGTTAACTATATGAAACCATGACCAGCTATGTAGAGTATGTTTGATGCTTTTTTTTTTTTTTAATGTGAAATTATGTAATTAGTGCTTGGTAAGCATGTTTTAGTTCCTATTGCATTGAAAACTTTCAAAGTTCTCATGACCATTAGACATTTCTGAAAGAATCCCTCATAAAGAAATCTCTAGCAAGGCACCTTTCAGGCGTGAACATAGTATGGAGTTTTTCTTTTGGCAACACATACCAACACCTGATCATTTAAGAGTAAATCATATGTTAGATATATTTGTCCAAGTAACCATTAGCCAGCTTGAATGAATTCAGCCGCATGATTCCAAATACATAAACCAAGTTAGTGACGGTGGGTAATTTAAACCTTTTATTCCTTATGAGTTGTGGCACTCGCCTCCCAAAATGAGACTTTAAGCTGTTATATTGATTCGTTGACAAACTATGAAATTAAGTGACTTCTGCTTTTCTTTTCTTCTTGTCTTTCCAAGTCTGACATATTTGATATCTTTTGGCTTATTTTTCTCATCTTCCCTTCTTTCTTCCATTCTATTTTTCACTGTTGACCAATATGCATCTGTATTGTATTCTAGGTGCATGTTGTTGACGGCTCTTCACCTCAGCCTGATCTAGAGTTTGATGCAGTTCGTCTAGAGCTAGAACTATTTAGTCCTGAACTTGCTGAGAAACCTTATGTGGTTGCTTATAACAAAATGGATCTTCCAGAAGCATATGAGAAGTGGCCATCCTTTAGGGAAAAGCTACAATCTCGTGGTATCACACCTTTTGCCATGAGTGCTGTGAAAAGGGAAGGTACTTATGAAGTTATCTGTGCTGCTTATGAGCTTCTATGCCAATATAAAGAGGCCAAAGAGGAATGCCAAGGTCTGAATTTGATTCACTTTTGTTCTTAAAATTCTCGTCCTATTTTCAGTTAATTCTGATTACTTAATTTGCCATAGCATGTGAATAATTTCTATCTGTTTCAGATGGAAGGGGTATCGTAAACTTAAACCATGTAGCCCAAGCAGTAGAAAAGGAGCGAAGTGCACCCATCAGTGATTTTGAGGTTTTTCATGACAGCAGCACAAATATTTGGCATGTAGTTGGATCTGGATTGCAACGTTTTTCTCAGATGACAAATTGGAGGTGGGTTAAAGAGTATTCCATGTGAACAGCATGCAATTTGCTATCATGACTACCCTTCATTATCCAATGTCTAGGACATCTTAAACATCATATGATTGTTAAGGGTCTGACTCCTAATCTTATTTAACATAATGACGTGTAGAAAATGTGTCCACATTTATTATATACTTGTTCTCAGAACCATATGAAATGTGATTAAGCTGAGACATTATTACCCCATCCTTGCCTTGAGCTTCTTGCATGGATTTTTGAAGTTTTCAAGTATTGGCCGTAGACTGGAAGACTCAGAATCATATGATCTGTGTTATGAAGATGTGAGGATAAGCTAGCATTTTCTGTAGAGGATCATCATTTCCCACACTTGCTATTCTCTGTAAGGAAATTTAATCCATTAAGTGGATATAATGTTATTTTTCATGTGCATTGAATCTTAACTATATGTTCTTTGTTTATATCCCTTTTTTGCCTTCAAAATTTTTTTTTTTTTTTTTTTATGATGATGGTGATCGTTATTATTGTAGTCGTAGTTTTGCCAGAAATATCTTGTCTCCGGTGACCAAACTCCATTTTGCAGAGCGCATATAGAAAATGTTAGACCCTAGCTATGTCCGAAAGCAAATGAGGAAAATATTAACTAAGTTGATAGTTGCTCTTATGTAGAGTGCATTTAACAATTCACCGAAAAACAAAGAGTGCATTTAACTTGAAATGACACATAAGATATGTAAATGTTTTTGTCTGCTTGGTAAACATTGATTGAATGTGTGCGCACGCACATGCACATTTAATATTGTGAGATGAGACAATATGAAGAAAGGAAATCCCGCCTACTCTCTCATAGTTGATATTTTGGTACTAAAGATGTGCTTAGACAGACATTTATTACGAATCGTAATGTGCCTGAAATTGCAGTACCTGTTCATGGCAAACCTTGTGATAATTGTCATGCCTGTTTGGTAGGTATATTGATTCAGAGAGAAGATTTCAACATGTCCTTGATGCTTGTGGTGTGTACAAGTCTCTCATGAAACAAGGTGTAAAGGAAGGTGACACGGTAATTGTTGGAGAGGTGTGTCCTTTGTTTCTTATTCTCTTTTCTGTATTGTAATCCTTTGTTTCTTATCCTCTTTTCTGTATTGTAATCCTTATTAGCACAATCATCAAATACATCAACATATAGCTATTGTACTGATTGAATTTAATCATCATGACTTGCTTTCAATTTATTCACAGATTTCTTAAAAGAAATACCAGTTCCAACCGCTGCCATTTTTCGTTCTCATAATTAATTTGGAAAGAACATATCCAAAGCAACAAAATGTTGCAGTTTAGTTTTTTAAAAAAATATAATTGTAGTTTAAAATTTTTGTTAGCTCTTGGGGAAGATTTTGTATATTGCGTCGCAATGACCATATGATTCTGTATGCTATCTAGCAGATTGAGATGGTTTGGCATGATTCTAATGACAAGTCCAGTGCGTCCAGAATGAAGAGGAGATCCACAGACTCAGCTAAATGGGCCGAATGGAAGTAGTTCTGCTCTATCTGGATGCTGCTTGAATATGTGTACTGCAATTTTAAAGGAGGTATGGATAACCATTATCTCATCATTGTTCTTTATATCGTTATGCAACTTGGTTATACTGTAATTTAGGATACTGGTTTCCCTGGTTTCTCATATTATTGAGAGTATAGTATTTTTTTTTTTACCTGCTACATTGATACGTAACCAAAAATCCATCCCATGTGTGGCATGAAAAGATTTAAAACAAAATCATTTAGTTAGACCACTAATTTAAAAAAAAAAAAAAAAAATATTATGCCGCAATACAACAAAACTCATAGCCTAATACAAATCAAATATCTCAATTCATAGCACTTTTGCAATTGAAATGCATCACATGTCTTCATACACAATTTATGTTATATATGTATATATTTATATAGATTGAGCAAGTAAAAGGAAAATTGACGTATGGTAACCTTTTCTTATCTTCTGTTCCCCATATTAAGTTACACACTTGGCATGTCATCAATGCCACTTTTTTTCTTTTTTGGACAGAACTCAAGTGTGCATTTGGGTGCTAACAGTTTAGTAAAAACAAGGTGTTTTTATGTTTTTCATGGCCTGATATCACGTGATGGGGTATTCTAAAAAATTTTCTCCACGTGTCCCGTGTTTATAAAGAACCTAATAGCAAAAACTTGAGAAATTTTACCTCAGTTTGGTCAACTTTTTCTCAAGAGATAAAGTCATGTAATGTTTCTAGTTGGTAGTTGCTGCTAATTTAGGTCTTTATGAAATCTTAATCCGTGGAGTAGGTATCATTGAAGTATGTTCATTTGACTGTGATCAGCAGTTTGTGTAGAGAGGCAATGAAGCTATGGAAGATAATGAGTTCGTGGCAGAACTGACTTAAGAAGCTAGGCTTCATGGGCTGTCTGTCCTTTTGATGCAGCTTGGCTCTTGGCGCAACCACAATTTCAAATATCTACAGTTCAGAAGGAAGCTGAGTTCTTTATCAACAGCTCACAAGCGAAGACAAACTTAAGTGACAAAAAATTATATGAAAACGATTAAGATACTATTGTACATCTCACTTGTGAGGTTAAATTGGTTTTATACAGTCATAGGACCAACGGAGCTGTAATTGATGATTTAATCTTATGACTAGATATTGTATGTCGGAGTCTGACATACACTGAAATAAATTGTATGTTGAAGCCTCTGACATGTACTGAAATAAATCACTGCCACTCATTCATTTCCTGACTGCTGGAGTAAATGATTTGGCGAAGCTAGAGTGTTCCTTAAAGATGAAGTTTCACAAGAAGTCATCATAATAGAGACAGGATTGAGATGTAACATTACTTTGTGATTTAAGCATTGCTGAGTCCCATAAGAAATAGCTTTCTTAATGTGATTTTTTTTCATGTATAAAGTCCGAGCTCTTAAATTCACTTGAATCATTTCTACTTAAGCCAATCATTATTCATAACATTCATTTATATCCTAGAAGTAGTATTACTATGCTGTTTTGTTCTCTGGTGATGTTTCATTTTAATGATGTTTTGTGAGTGCTTTCTCGGGGTCTGAGTGTTCCCTCCTAAGTTTTTAAGGACTATATGCAGTTCGAGCCGGCAAGCTAATACGCCCCTATATATTGTTAAATTTGCCTGATAATGTCGTTCAACCAGCCAGGTCTTCCCATTAATATCATCCATAAATCTGAGGCTACAGTACGTTTCATTTCTGGAATTAAATCACGATTACAATCTTAATGCATCTTAGGCCAACTTAGATTTTTTAGGAAAAATTAATCTTTTGGTCCCTATAAATTTGACACATTTGTAACTCAATCATTATACCTTGATTTGATGTAACTCAATCCTTATAATTTTGATTTGATTGTAACTTAATTTTTGAAGTCTGATTCACTGTAATTCAGTCCTGTATGTTAAAATTAACAGATCTAAAAGGTCACAGGATGTTTGTCGGTTGAATCTTGGGGATGTGATATGTTGCTTCTAATTCCAACCACTACGGTGTTATACTGTTACAACCTGGGTATGAAGATCTGCAGAGCTGCACTCTGCAGATTCTATTTCACTGTTCACAGAAAAGTGTGGCCTTTCTCTACTCTACTTTACTTGCTCCCTGCATAACCTATCACCTCCGCCCTTGCCTCGTTTTCATCTTCTCGATCGTACTGCTCACAGGTGGGTCCTCACACATCCTGTTTCCTTCCATAGTCCATACTAGGCATGGACATTCATCTTACTTTCCCCTTCCCTCTCTCTCCATTTTTCCCGTTTAACGGTTTATATACCTTCATAAACACACAATATATTCTGTGGAATGGGATAACATGATTTTATTTTTAATAACAATAGTGCAGCTCATTTCAAGCTAAACAATTTACATCTACAATAGAAAAAATTAAAAAAAAAATGAAATATTTTAATAATGAACTATTCAGTATAGTTTTGAAATATTCGAATCAAGTTTTAGTAATTTAGTATTAAGGGTAAATTTTTGAAATTTAATCAAATAGTTCAGATCAGGAGTGAAACATTTTAAGTAAAAGAAAAGGAAAGTAGAGGAAATACTGTCTCCTGGATGGTTATTTCGCAAATACAAGTCATGCACATACAAAACATCATCATCATCATCTTGCTCTATTCATTACTTAACACCATACAACTACATATGCAGTTAGTTGGTTCATTTCGAAAGATTTCTTGCATATTTGCACTTTTTAAAAAATAAATTTTATTGTATTAATCTTATTCTAAAATAAATAAAATCAATGCCTATTTTGTTTATTGCGGACAGAAACCTGGTGTGAGCCAATACATGCTGTGCTTGTGCCTTTATTGTATCCAAAAGTGAAGGCAAGCAGCCGAAAAGAAGGATCTATTATTTTTCTATCATGCTATCACTCAATAATTTTAAAATATTTAATTAATGTATGTGAGGGTATGACTCACACAATTGAGTAATGACTTGCCCTTGATTTGAGAGTGCAAACTTTTTCTAAACTTTTTTCTAAACTTCCAGTGAAGTAATTACATTGAACGAATAAAAAAGGCATGCTAGGGTTAGACTTAGACCATCCCATATTACAACCAAAAAGGTTCAAGTGCATGCAAGTACACAAACTGGTAAAGCCAATGGCCCAACTAGGTTGAAGTATGGCAGTAAAACTTCCATATTCATCTTGTTCCAATGTATCCCTTGAATCTTTCAAAGATCCATTTTTTGCATATCATTTTACACTTGAAAGTTTGATCTTGTGTTTCCAACTTAGATTTGATACTATATGACCCTTACAAGAGCTGATATATCTAATTAACTTCCAAGTAGTAAACTGATACAACTGATAACTTGAGATCATATTGGCCAAACCAGGGTTTTAATTTATTCCAACATAAAAAGATCAACCAGAGCTGATCAGAAGAGTGTGTATGCCAAATCAACATCAAATGAAGGAAGTGATGGAGCATAAGTGGTTGATGGAGCAGTTGCAGCAGCCTGAGAGATTATCCCGCAGCTTGAAGTGTCTGTGTCTTCAACCTTTAATGGACTGTTAAATATAGCAGCAAGTTCACTGCAGCTCCAGTCCCAGAATGTTTCTTGCCCGAGTTCATTTGGATAGGTGAAATTTCCATAGCTTGAGGCCATGTTCTTCACAGCTTCTTGAGATATCTTTTGGTCATTTGCATCGGCACAGGGAATTAAGGCACCATTGTTCTTTATGGAGTTTGAACTGTTGCTATCATTAGAAGAAGATGGTGGTGGTCTGAAACAGACATCAGGAACTATGCATTCCAAGTAACCTGACTTAGAATCACCATTGGAGAAGAAGAGTAAGCTATCAGCCTCCTGAGCTGAAGAAGAATCACATGCAGCAGTAGTCTCAATCTGGGAAGTCTCAGAAAGCTGAGGTGGCCTGTTCTGGTTGATTGACTGTTTCATCTGAGTAGTGTTAAAGAGTGACTGAAGCTGAACATCAAAGGGACAAAGAAGAGTATTGTCAAAGGTTGTATTGTCAGTAGTGTATACGAAGTTGGTTCTTGCTTGGCATCCTTTCATGGACAAAGCAGCTCTGTCATAAGCTAAAGCAGCTTCTTGAGCAGTATCAAAAGTCCCAAGCCAGTGCCTTTCTTTAGTTGCGGGGTCTCTAATTTCTGCAGCATATCTTCCCCAAGGTCGTCTTCTCACCCCCAGAAATCTTCCTGCTTCTCCTTGCTTTTTTCGCCCTCTTCTCTCACTAGAAGAAGATGGGTTGGTTTGAAGAAGACACAAACCCATCTGGGTTTTGTTCTCTGAGGCTCTGGAGCTTGGCATGGCTGCAAAAATGGCAGAGAAAAAAGATGAGATGGGCAAGATAATGTAAGGGAGAGTTGAAATCTGCAAGAGAATGGGAGTGCAGAGGTGAGTAGCAGTGAAGGGATGAGTATGGGAGAAAGGTGAAGCTATGGAAAGCCTTTATAAAGAGTGTGTTAAGTACATTTTTTTGCGCATGTCTTTCTTGGGAGACCATTCTTCTGTTTTCCACCTACTTTTTTGGGATTGTATCTTTCTAATTTCTTCCTTCTCAATAAATTGACAAAAACATGTAACACTCTTCCAATCATATTTATAAATAACTTCCAAAATGCTTAACTAAAATGAAGAAAAATCTTAAATCTTATAAATTTTGTCTTCGTATTTAATCAATTTTTAACCATATTCATATTTAATACACTTTATACAAAATCTAGTGCTTCACGTCACCGTTGTTAGCAGAAATAACTTAATAGTAGAGCATAGCTTACATAATCATAAATGAAAGGTATAATTGTATACAACAGTAAATCTTATTCTACTAAATGGGATTGGCTATATGAATCATATGATGTCATTGCACTCTATTAATAATTAAATATTTAGATAGGTTGTTAGCTAATCCATTCAATGATCTCATTGAGCGTACTCCTCGATCTTCCTCTGCTCTTTTTATAAAAAGATAAAATTGTATATTCATATAAAAAGTTTAATGATGTGGGTTATAAATAAAAAGAAAATTATCTCCATCTTATAAATAAAACAAGAAAAGTATGCATTTTTATATAACTGTTCATCATTTAAAATTGTTGATTTAGACCTAAGTGGTCAAGTTTGAATATTTCTCTTAACATTCATTTTTTTCCTATTAACAAAGTTCGAATCCTCAATTTTATTTAACTAGAACTTAAATAATAACATAACATAATTTCTACATATGCCTCATCAAAAATAAAAGATTCTTTTCATTATATTACTTGCAAGCCATGTTAGGAGGATTCAAACCATAGGTCTTTACATGGATTTATACGACTCTTCCTAATATTCTCTCTACTTCCAATGAAGATCAAAAGAGTGTTTAATTTTCTTGATATAGTAAAGAGTACAAGGAGAGATTAATTATTTAATTTAATAAGAGGAAATGCTAATAGGACCGCCATGAATAATTTACAAGTGACAGTGGCTAATTATTACAAAGATTGAATCTTTGTGCATATCGGGTCACGTGTAAACGACAAAGTCCATTGACAAACTACCTGAAACTTGATTTGTTAAACTCTATTCATGGGTTTCTCCACTCAGACAAAGCAATTATTGAAAAATAGTTTAAAATATAACACTCAGGTTGACCGTATCATTTACTTTCCCCCCAAAAAAAAAAAATATATATATATATATATATATATATATATATCATGATCTGCTGATGTGGTGGTGTGGTAATCAAATGGATAGAACGGTAAAAATGGAACAATGTCCAACCATCAAATAAGCTAATAAGCTGTTTGTAACTTATTTTAAATGATTTTGTACTATATGAAATAAATATGTATAAAGTGATTTAAAAAAAGAAAAAATTGGCACCACTTATTTCATAGTTTGTTATGAATTTTGTATATCAAAGAGTTTGATCTAAGAATTAGAGCTTATAAGTTTAAAATTTTTTCACTTAATGAACTATTTTCTCGAGATGATATCTCAGTTTGCACTTACATTCATAACATTAACACTTTTTATTGAAAGGGTGACGTTACGAATAGGACTATCCACGTATGGTTCTAATTGATAGAGATTTTTGAAAAAAAAAAAGTTAAATAAATATCACCAGGTGAAGTATTGCATAAGTTTCATGTTGAAAAACTCACTTGAGAAGTGTCTCAAAACATAGATCTTCATTATTCCTTTTGATTAATCTAGAATTCTTAGCTAATCCCCAATCTGAAACATGATAAAACTGGAAGCATAAGCTTTGGAACTTGAATGTTTAATTATATGCTCCTTTGATTTTATTTATAAGGCACTTTTAGTATATTTCATGCAAATAAAAAAAACATTAAAATGTATTAACTCTTCATTAAAATATAACAACTTTTCAATTTTACTCCTATTTAATATATATCTTTTAAAAAAGATAATTATCTACATTATAATAAATGAAGAACAAAACAGTATGTTTATGTTAAAAATTTAATAAAATGTCCTATAAATATGATAAAAAAAATATTTTTCTCTGTCCTATAAATAGAACATGAAGAGTAAGAAACATGATAAAACTGGAAGCAAACTGGTTACAAAAACCAGAAGAAGCAATGGAAAACAAAACACCTGCAAAGTTTGTCTGATATATGTGTGTGTATATGTATATATATATATATATATATATATATATATTTATAGACACGCTTCTAGGTTGTCTCAAAACATTTGAATTTAAAGATACTACATTTTTGGCTTGTCACTAGCTCCAGTTCACTAGCTGTGTGCGTAATAAGCACATGTGAATTCCTTGTTTTTTGCGAAACAAGATCAATCATTACGTTGGGAATTCTTGTTTGCTTCATCATTTTCAAAGGGGGCAGTTAAGAAAGTGATCATCTCTAATTAATCAAACCTTAATTTTAGGCCTGTTTGGGTGCTCCAAAACTGTGGTTTCAGAAGCACTTTTCCGCAAAACGAGGTAACATCCTCCACATATTTATTTCGTAATCCGTAAAAACACTTCTGAAATCATGATTTGGTTTCTATCCAAACACTCCCTTTGTCCAACAATTTCATCAATGTCTTCTCTCTCCTGTGCATTGCAAAAATACTAGAAAAATTTATCCCTGAAAGCATGCATTAGTAAAATTATACTAATGCTGTTAATTTGTCACCTATAAGCTTCATATTTGAACTTTTATTTATAATTGCATAACTGGTTGAAGCAGTTGACCATGGTTTTCACTCTTCAAACATATAATTCTCAAATGGTGAAATCTCATTGAAAGATCACTATTCAATGTAAAACCTTTTTCTCTTCTTATCCATCCGGTGTCTGGTCAATCCTTATGGAATTACAATCGGATCAAGACATGATAGGAACTCCTGAGGTTGCCATCCCTGCCTCTGTTAGATGCCTAAAGAATAAAACCTATGATCCTTAATTAAGTTGGAACAATCCTAACCAGTTAAGATAACCCTCCATGGTTTACTCAATCTGAGAACTTAAGAATGAAGCTTATGATTATGTTATTTTATTTATGTAACACACTTTCAAATTTTTGTTATAAATATGAACAAATTATACTAATTAGATGCAAGTCTTATATGTATAAACTCTAAAAAAATAAGTCGTATATTTATAACTTATGCATTAAAAATCTGTGAAGAGAATAGTTTTTATGTGCTGTCAAAAAAGAAAATGATAGATTTTATAATACTGATATTTAATATTACAAATTATTATTTATTATTTCACGCATCACAAACATGGAAAAAAAAACAAGAACTACTCTCATGTTCCTTATTATAAGATCCTTTTAACTGAATTACGCGATTTAAGAAAACAGTTAAAATTAGTTAAAAGCAATTACTATGTAGTAAATATAATTTTTTAAAAAATATACCTTATATATAAATGAGTAAATGTGAAAGAATAATAGTGAGATAAATTAAAAAATATATTAAATGTATTAAATTAGAGGTAAAATAGGTAATAATGTATTATATGTTCAGACAAACTCAAAAAAAATTTTATTAAAAAAAATCTATTTAAAAAAATTAGATCTTAGAATTAATTATTTGCAATATATTCCTAACATATATTTGAATATCCCAGAGCCATTTCAGTCAAAAGGCTAATCAAGAAGCCTAGACCCCATTTATCAAAGTGAGTGCCTTAAACCGAACCGCCCCACAATACCACCGTCATGTTGGAAGCAGTTCCACACTTATTAATTCAAACCTTTTTAATAACTTGGAGTTTACTCTGCTTTTTATTCTTGTTATAAGATATTTTTAACCAGTTTATTAAAATAAAAAGGTGATTAGATCATTGATTTTGTTCAAAAATAATAAACTTTTAAATTTACCACATTTAGTATCATAAAATATATTCAAAAAGTTATATTAGGACTCGCAAATTAATAATGAGATTTTAAATAAGAGAAATTTTGAAAAATATACTTAATACTACACCTAGTGACTTATAATAAGCACTTCTATTTCTTTTATAAAGTATTTCATAATAAGCATGGGAAAAAGGATAGTATAATTTAAAGATGTTTAAATGGAAAAACACATATTATTCAGACATTTCGAAGTTTTAATTTCATTCTAAATAATTCACAGATTTGAAATTTTAACAAGATAAATAAATCACACTCTATTTTATAATACTCCAGCTAAAACTAAGCCGGGAATGATACTATGATACTAATTAAGGATTAAAATTTATTTGATGCAACAGCAATGATAAATTATAACTAGCGTATAATTTTAAATTCAAGCTTTTATCTTTCGCCAAGCAAGTTTTCATCATAAAGTTGTTCAACTAACCATGTTTAATTTCAGATTAATTTCAACCATAGCCTTACAGCAATATATTTAAGTAATATGTACAAAATTTTTTGTACTTGTCCAAATCACGTGATGATAAAGGTAAATAGTGAAACTTTAATTTTAAAAAAGTAGGAGGCCCTAAAGCAAGGGACATATATATCACAATGATTCAATTAGACCACATACGTTTGAGATTAATTTATCATCTTATTTTATTAAGAATTAAAAAATGGATTACTACTTTTGAATCCAAGACCCTTGACTCTTCCACTAAACACCTTCACAAGCAGAAAGATAGCAATGTGTCAGATCCATAAATATTTTATACATCGATCATAAAAAATATTTATATCTTAATGCTTCTAATTAGTACCATGATGTTTTACAAGAATACATCAAGATTTTTTATTTTTAATCTTATCACACTAAATTTTATATTTTAATTTCATTTTTAAAAATAAATTAATGTTTGAAATTATTTTCATTCCATGATTTTTTTTAAAAAAATAGGGCCACTTATTTTCTAGAGTTCATATGATATGAGGAACTCGGCGATGGTTTTATAAAAATTATGGATCGAGCCAATGTTTCAAAGATTGTTTTTTTCGTTTGAATCCAATCAACTATCATTATTTTAGTCACTTTACTTTAATTCTAGACTAATTCAGTGAACAATAATATTCAAATTTCTAATATAATACTCCTCCGGTCCTAATTATAAGACCCAATTGACTTATTTGGGGAGATTAAGGAAGTAAGTTAAGTTGGTTATTCATAATAAATAAGTGTTGTCATTCCTAAAATATCCTTGCTAATTAAGTATATTGGCTAAAACTATCATTATTAGAAGGATTATCTTGGAAAAAATGCATAAATATAAGAGACAAAATAGATTAGGGTCTTATAATTAGGACCAAATAAAAAGTTAAATTGGGTCTTATAATAAGGACCGGAGGAGTAGAAATAAAAAATATTTAACTGAAAAATCAAATCTAAGACGAGGTTGTCATTAAGTAGGATGAAACTTCCATCCTTAACATGGAAGGGTTCGAAAAGGAAAGAATGACTAAAGGCAGCATCTTCAAGTATTTGGCAACATCTGCCTTTTATTTGATTGGTTTGGAATTAGACTTTGACAAAATACTTTAGAAATTGAAATGCGATCCAATCAATTCCTGCTATTTATAATATATGAATAATATTATTTCTCATAAATTATATTTTCTCCTCTTGTTGTAATAAAAACTTCTTTTTATAGTTATTAATATAAAATTTTTTGTCTAAAGTTTGATAATTTTTTTTTATTGTTCACATGCATCTTTCTATATTTTTATTGAAAACAATTCTGTTCGAAACACAATCAGTCATTAAATATGAGTTTTTTTTTTCTAAATGTCATTTGCTTTAATATTCCTAAACTAACTGAATAAACTCATAGCTAATCATATTATCTCTTATGACTAATTAATTAATTGATTTGTTTAATTTATGTAAATTATTAATAAATCCAAGCATAAGACAAAGCATATATTGATTTGCTCAACTAATAAGAGTTTTTTTTCTTCCACTATAAGACAACTTAGGAGGAAGCTCTCTCTTTTTCCCCCTTTTTAATTTTGTAACAAAGAAATTGGAAATAAGGGACACACATAGTGGAAGAATGTATGTAAATTAAAGGTGGTCCGGAATTTAGGGAAAAAGATAATAATGTTTTCCATAGGAGTTTGAAAAAAAAAAACATAAACCAAACCACGTTGAACAACTTGTTTAGTGTTAATCAATCACTTGCACTTTTTGGTTCAATTCAAAGTTTGTCTCTTTTCAGTTATCTCTTCTTTTCCCAAAACCCAAGCTCCTCCCTCACATGACCCCAACTAAATTGCTCTCACCACAACTTGCCCTTTTCTAATTTCTAGGATTTTTTTTTCAACGTTCAATATAATATAAAATTAGGTGGGTCTATCCTGAGTCATATAATTTTTTTTGGAAAAAAAATTGATATGTGGTTTAATGATTTGGAAGCAATCTAATTTGCCGCATTTGATAGATTTTTTTTTAGATTAGATACGGATATCTAAAGTAACAAATGCTTTTTATTCATTTACATTGGTTAATTTAATATAAGAAAAAAACTTAAATATACTTTAAAATAATGCTAGAATAAAATAACGATGGTAAATATAGACATTTTTCATGGAATCAATATAATACCAACCATTGATTTGTTCGTTTGTTAAACTTATTTGAACGTATGGTATTGATCATGATTATTTAATAAACTCACGCCATTCTTAATCACGAGTCCCAATGAATCATCGATCTATTTTGTGTATTAGAAATGAGGGGGTCTTTCGTGCATCAAAAAAATGAGGGATTTTCTCAGCTGTCAGAATTTTTTAAAAAGCTCAAACAAAGGAAAAAAAAAAGTAAAAATAAACCTTTTTTTTTTTTTTTAAACGGTCTGAAAAAACCAAGCAAGCATGCTGTTACGTTTGGGTCCGTAAAAGAACTTTTGGAATTCTGAAAGTTGAAACCAAGTGGCCTCATTCGGTTAGTGAAATGTTTTTGGTAGGAGGGAGAATGAAAATAAAAATAAATATGATATTTGGTGAAATGAGATAATTTTTTTTTTTTAGTGAGATAATTTATTTGATATGTCATGAGAGCACAAAAATATAATAATGAAGGGGATTAGAATTGTCTTCCTCTAATAAAATCACATTTAATCTTTTAACTTTACATGAAGTTTTACTTTAATTTTTTAATTTTATAAAATGTCTCCGAAATTTTGTAACTCTCATGTTCAAAAATACTGACATTGAAATTTTAAATATTAATAAAATACTTTCAAATACTGACATATTAAACATAATTTTCACGAAGATAATAATTGTTATAAAAAAATATTATTTGAAACTAACAGCATTAAGATAAAAAGACCAAAAGATACTTTTTAAAATTAAACGAATAAACTGAAGCTTTATACAAAATTAGAGAATTAAAAGATATACTTTTGCAACCTTTTCCTTTCAAAAAGTTCTGAAGAAAATATGATGTATAAACTTCCAACAAGCCTTCAAAAAATTTGGATTGTTTATATTTAATACCCTCAATTTCGAACCATTATTTTTGGACAAATGAGAAGGGGGCAAATGAAGAACAATTCCTCTAACCTCATGTGAATGCTTGATCAAGTACAACGATATCAAGGAGAAAGCAAAATTTATTACAGATTCAAAAGTGTCGGTTCTAGTGTAATCTCTTACTTCCCCCTTATATATGTATTTGGTAATGATTTAAATCCCAAATGAAGCATGTCATTGTTCAACACATCACTGTGGATCTGTCTAAAATAGCAACGTGAAGCCTCGTTGTAGTCTCCTGAGTCCTGATTATTTTTCTTCACCTAAACCCTAGACAAAAGAGATGGAATCGTGGGAACAAGAACAAAACCTTCCACTTCCAAAAGAATTGGAAAATGAAAAAGGTTCCCAGAGTGAAAGAAGGGTTTTGGGGAAGAAACATAAACACATAATCAAAGAGAGTGTGGGCAGAAGCCTCATATCAAAGACAAGTGAAGCATAAATAAGCTCAAAAAACTCCAGACAACTGGAGTTGTGGATGCAGTTCCTCAAGATTGAAAGCAAGGTGGCCTGTATGGGATGCTACTAAAATTCTCAAGGTTGGCCATGGTTTATTCAAGATCAATTGGATGGCCATGAAAAATACTATAAGATTATCAACCAAGAGACAAGAGGTGCTGATGTGTTCTAGACCTGTGGAACAGGGATAGCTGAAAAACAAAACCTATCTGAGGAATCCCTTGAATAATGATGTCCCCTTTAAGAATTGGGATTAAAAAAAAGGAGTAAAAATGAAGGTATGCATTCACATTGCTTAGCTTGGGGTATGAGAAACAGTGCTGCTTGTTGTCGTGATCGTGGAAGTCACTACCGGAACAGAACTTTGGGTGGATGTTTGAGTATTTGACTGAGAAACAGTTCCACCAGATGACAAAGCCAAGCCTGCTGATCCAGTGGATGTGCTCATTGATGAAGATATTCTGAATGATCCATGCTCCATGCTTGAACCAGGGCTGAGTTCAGGCCGCAGCTCTGATGACGAGGATGATCGTGCAGGAGTACTGATGGATGAACCCACAGGAATGGATACAACAGGCACATTAACAAGGGAAGAAGCAGATGGACTGTAAGTCAGTGCTCCCATAGGATGATCAAACTTGCATGCAGGACCAAACTTACATACCCCTCGCTGCTCATAATGGATGCAAGGTGGTGCGCCCTGATTATCAAGCATTGACATGAGATGAAAGGCTAGGCACGTAATAAAGCAGCCAAATGAATAATTTAATACACATTTAACTTTCTGCACAAACCTTAAGGGCATTTCATGATATAACTTTCTATGATACACGCATAAAAGGAACTTTTATTATATGCCACATGAGAGCAGACTCTAGCACTAGTAAAAACAATTAAACAGAAGTAAAGCACCTGTGCAATTTGAGACAAAATCAGCTTAGACTCTGACAGTCTGCAAGGGAAAATGAAACAGCTGAGTCTAGACTGTTAAGGATGCTAAAACTTATATCTCATCCCAGCCTCCAAAAATGTAAAACAAGGTGCAGTTTTTTATTCGACTAATCAACTATGTTTGCATTTCAACAGGTTCGGATTCAGCCTGTAAAATTTTATTTATCAGCATTTACTCACATATGAAAATAACAACGTCCAAGTCACTAAATCCTTCATAATCTGACGGCTACTTCAGCTCCTTCACTCGCCTAAATGCACCTCAATTACTGGCTCCAATATCTATCTTTTCTCATTAAGTATAATTCTACCAATTGTCGAGGAAAAGTTGTCAGTAAAACATATTATCTTAAATCTAATAAAGATTTTGTTTGAGTCAAAACACAGTTACAAAAAAGAACAGCAAAGTTAAAAACATAATGAACACAATCCAAGTGTGAGGAATCCAAAAGCTTGCCCAAGACATTTGAAGGTAAACAAGTCCCATGTAAAACGAGAGGAATTGATAGAAGACATTCATAAGAAAGAATCAAACAAATTCCAGAATAGAATTATCAGCATAATGTTCTTAAATGCATTCTTAAAGCCAAAACCAGTCATCATGCCAATAGTCACGTAAGCAGTTTGCTAAAGGGCCAAACTGACACTACCAAAGCAAAAGGAAAAGAAAAGCCAAACTAATCTACATATTGAAATGTTGGGGGGGGAAAAAAAGCCTAAGACAACCCTATTTTTAGTCCAAGACACTAAAAAATCAAATCCTTTGGCAATAGAAAATAATTCAATTCAGATCCCCTACAATTCTGAGAACTCTTGAATAGAAATGAGAAGACAATTAAAATTTACAACAACAATACAGCATACTTGGTTTTGGCATCCTTAGAATTAATGCAGAGGATGATGTGCTAAGCCTCAAGGAAATCAAAACAGAGAACACAAAGTTTTGATAACATTTTCATTTATATACTCATGTTAGAGATAATTATATCTAAAAGCAGATATTCTACATGTTGGCTTATATGTTAAAAGGTTTACAGATTTTTTGAGCTTAGGCTCATCATCTGACAATGAGCAAGCAAGACCTTGACCTTTGCATGACATTTACAGTCTATAGTTTAGTGAAACATCAGCATAAAAACATCAGAAGTATGAGTTGATCATACAGATACAAAAAAACAAAGAGGTAGCATAAGATTGCAACCCAATTATCGACACCATGCATAAGTACAAAAGCTTGATGATATCTTATGAAGGCAAGCTACTGAGAAGAACTATATTTTATTTGAACAAATAGAGAAGTTGTGTGAGCTTTTAATGATCTCATCAAAGGTCGCCTGCCTACACTTATATTTTCTTAAATGCACCTTGCACTTTAGAGGAGCTAAATCCCTTCAATAAATATCAGAAAGAATCTCTATAGTTTAGCAGATAGTGATAAAACAAAAAATACAAAGAACTGTAACCGGTTGAAGGTCAACGACAAGAAGAAACAATTAATTGACCCAAGAATAAGAAATATGTAAGAAATGACCGTCAGAAGTTCTTGACAAGGTAAAACAATATCCCTTCATATTTATACATTAATGAAGGAATTCCCCAGCAGTGTTATAGAAGAACTTAACTGAAACATAGCGTGGAAACAAAATACAAAAGAGCATCAATCAATTTTATGTATCTTAGCCATAACTCAGTATCATCTTACAAGTTACCACATCAACAAGTAACACAAACTTTCAGGCTTTCATGATTAAAAAGTTGAAATACATGTTAAGGTATATCAACAATGGAGGATTTTAAAGAGATGTATACAAATTTTAATAACTGGTCAATGATACTAAAGTTTTAGCCAGATGGAGAGAGAAGATGGAATATCAAGTTCATATCCCAAGGCATCATAAAAGAAGGGTTGAGGGTTGGTAGTTACCGGGCGCATAGGAAGACCAACAGGACTAAGGACCACATTCACATTTGGTATAATCAATTCAGGTGGATGATGATATCTGCAGGAAGGACCAAATCTACACTCCCCTGTTCTCATGTAATGCTGACATTCTGGTTGACCAGGTCTTTCTGGAAATGAATGCTGTTCTCTCTGACTGGTGCTCAAGGGGCCAAATGAGGAACCCGAAGGCTGGTAAAGTGCAGTATAGGGAGGTGCGGGTGAAGGTAGCTGGGTATTTCCATAAAGGTGCGTTGAGCCAACATTAGAGGGAGTACTAGAAGGAACTGCTGGGCTTGTATGAGCCTGTGTAAAGTGTTAAAGGGCATTGCCATCAACAAATGCAATGTAATCTGTCGAAACTGTGAAAGGAAAAGCTTGACCTACCTGATAAGGATTCCAGCCTGAAAAAGGGACAGGGGACATGACCACAGGCCCGTAAGGATTTTGGACTAATGACCCTGGTAGCAGAGGTGGTCTTGCAACCATTACACCATATTGTTGTGATGAAGGACCAGATGGAGGCTGCATATGTGGATAGAATGGTGAAGGTACTCGTACAGGTAGAGTTGAAGCTTGGGGAACTGGTAATGGCGCAGGAACTTGAACACCAGCAGGCTGTGGGTGATGAAACTTACAAGTTGTGCCAAACTTGCATTGTCCTGTTTTCACATAATACGAACACTCTTTCTCATCCTGTATTTGTAAAATGTAAGTTTGGGACAAATTATTGCCATGGTTAGAAAATACCGATCCATCCAATATCTAAAGAAAACACACAAGTATGGGCTAAACATAATGTTATACAAACCGGTCGCATTGGGTATCCATAATAATTAAGTGGAACAGGAGCAACTCCTCCTTCCTGCCTAGGATGGTGGTACTTACATGAAGCACCATATTTGCAAGATCGTGTCCTCATATAATACTGCAGTTTAAGTAAGTAGATCAAATTAATACTAAAGGCCAGCCATCAATTTTGAAGACTGCCAAAGCAGATAATAACTCAACTTCACTCTACTCTTAGAATATACAAATGACTGTTGATTATCACATTTTGTATAACCAGTATGAATGACGATGGCAAAAGCAATACTATTAATAATATTTTCCCAGAGTGTATAGCAGAACCAGATAAAGTACCTGACATACAGGCTGGCCGACTCGCTCTGGATACTCCATAACAGTCCTCAAAGCTCCTATAACCTAAACAGCATATATATGTACCAAATTATTAAAGGTCCAATCACACTATCAAATACAAACATTTTAGTCTCAGTCGAGTTGATTTGATTTTGTAATGATCCTAACACTAACTTGAAAAGCCACAGCCTGAAGGCAATCCCAGCAACAAAAAGCTTTATGAAGTCGTGCGCTCAAATATTATGTACCGATCATGAGTCATAACAAAGATCAAACCAAACTGAAGCGATGGATCACATCAAAAACCAAACGATGTCCTTTAATCTTAAAAACAGTCCGGTAATCAACCACAACAAACTTACCGCGCCACGGTCACGGGGATGATTGAACCGACACCGTGAGCCATAGCCACAAAACCCTGTCTTCAAATAGTGGATACAATCTGCCTCATAGGGCCGTTGTGGATACGATTCCCCACCAACCAATCCCAATTGCCGCATAGATTCTGCATTCGTGAAATCAAGATCAAATTCAGTATATGACACTCCGCATTCTACTAAACCCACAAATCACCATACCAGGACCCAAAATCCTGTCAAACAAGGAACAGAATTCAGAATGCAGAAGCCTACACACCCACCTTCAAGCCCTGTTTCGCCTCCGGTTCCAGTCCATTCCGGCGACGGATCGGACTGCGACTCGTCGCTCGCCCGGCCGTACCGCTCCATTGTACGGACAAGACCAAACCGGACGAGAACCGACTACGCAGTAATTGGGCACAGGGAATGAGAGGCTCCGATCAAATGGGGCCGTCTCAACAGAGAACTAGAGAGAGAAACGGATTGGATTGCCTGGGAGTTTTGGACTCATACACACAGTCACAAGCACGCAGAAAGAGAGAGAAAGCGAGAACGACAGCGTCCCTGCTCCCAGTTTGGCCTCCTGCTCTTTCTCTAGTCTCTCTCACTTCCTTTCAGTTTCAAAGCGTTAATCTTTGATCTTTCCTTCTATGCCTCACTTTGAGCCTTCTCTCATTGGTCTGACAGTTTGTTGGTTTGCTCACGTACGCGCCAAACATCGCTGACATCAACGAAAATAATCTCGCTGAAATTTGTTTTTTTCCGGCATTTTCTTTAAAAAAAATTGTAGGAAATAAATAGTTAATGTTACGCTTATTTGTTTATTGGCCAGCTTTACGTTTATTTATTTGAACTTACCAGAAGATGTTAAATGAGTAAGTTAAGGCAGGTCAAAATAAATAAGCGAATTAAGGAACAAAGTTTAGTGGGATGCTGGTGTCGGTCAAGCCTTGTGAAAAATCAAAAGACCGAAACGCCCTTTTTGGCGCGTGTGGCAGTAAAGGTCAATACTCTTAGATTATGAGAACGGAGTTGTCCTCTTGTATTAGCGTTAATACAAAAAGTGATTATGAGATTAATTAATCTGACTGCCATACAGGAACATAAGATAGATGCTGTTGCTTCCACGTGGCATCATGACGATCTTCCTTGGAAACTGAAAAAAAAATTAATTCTCCCTCACCTTGCAAAAATAAGGAAAATAACAGAAAATGAACCTTAAAATTGTTAGACAACAAAAAGACAGGCTAAATTTCCATAATCCCATTTATTGATTAAAATAATAAGCGATCTCATTCTGTAAAGATTGTAAGGAAAAAACCCCAATATAAGTTTGAATTTTGATAAGCACATTTGTTAGGAGGGTTTTTAACTTTAACATTTTTACAGGGATTAGTTTTAAAACAAAAATGACTTATAATACTCTAAGTTATACCCAAAAAATTCTGTAAGCCCTATGAGTTGTGAGATCTTAAAATTAAAAGGAAAAGACAAAAAATATATTTTTATTTAAAAAGATTTCTCAGGTTTTTTTTGAAAATTTAACTCCCAGACGTTATTAGTTTGTGTAATAGCAAGCCATTCATATTTAGAATCATATTGAATATTGACTAATATAAAATTCATGTTTAAATTAGGTTTTATCCTAAAAATATTCTAAACAAAAGAGTAACACAACTTGAAAATAAAACTTATTAACCTAGTACAAATAGAACAATTCGCAAGTCACAAAATCATGTGAGTTTTCTTAGGCCTCATGCAATTTTTTTAAAAAATTTATATTTATTGCATGTCTTCTTAAACTGAGTCACATAATGAATGATATAAACACGCACATTGTTTATAAGTCTAATTTATATTGACAAAAACATACAACATATATATGCATATATGGGTGATATAAAAATTCCCTTCCACGTGTATTCTAACCGACTCAACAATTTAACCTCTTATTTTTCCCTAACTTGTTCTTAAACTGTAGAAATGTATTGAAATTAATTAATATATATGTCATCTAGAATTATATTAGGATTATAATATATATCATATCTTAGAAAAATAGATTTGAGATATTAACATTAGATTGGATTAGATAAAATTATGAGCTCTAGGTTATGGTTTGCTTATATAAAACTCATTTGCATTCTTCTTATTACGAAGGATTAATAATATTCTGAGGTTATTATTTCTCTCAATCCTTCAAAATGGGGATTGTCTCCTAGTTTGCAGCTCGTTTCGTGATCGGAATCACTCTTGGATAGTCGCGTTCATCATCTACCTTAAGCATCCTGAAGCTTTGTGCTATAGAGACTTCTCTCTCCATGTTGCATTTTTTTTGCATCCACCTACCTTCGTCTGATGTGCTGTCACGCATATGTTGTTGCCTTTGCAATTTGTCTGATTCCATCCCAAATTCTTGCCTTAACAGTACTTCTGGTTTCGTCCTAGATTCTTGCCTTTGTAGTACATTTAGATTCGTTCTAAATTATTGCATTCGTAATGTTTTGGTTTTGTCTAGATCTTGCCTTCACCAAGTCCATTTCTGGTTCCATCCAAATCCATGTTGCCCTATGTTGTTTTTGCTATCACATGCCTCCTCATCGAGATCATCTTCCTCCACGCTGACTTCCAATCAAATGATCATTTGCAACTCAGGTAACTCACGCCCAGGTGAATACTATTAACTCACACCCAAGTCTTACTCCTCAATTTTAGGGAAAGTTTTGAGAAGCATAAATATCCAAGCGAAATCTCCAGCTCAAGCTGGATATTCAGCTTGAGGGGAGTGTGAAAATATACTAAAATAATTAATATTGTGTCATCTAGAATAATTATATTAGAATATTATCTAGGATTATAGTATATTATCATATCTTAGAAGAATAAAATTTGAGATATTAGAATTAAATTGGGTTAGATAAAATTTTGAGGTTGGTTATGTTTTTTGTTGTTTATATAAAGCTCATTTGTATTCTTCTTATTCAGAAGGATTAATAATATTATGAGGTTCTTATTAGGGGTGTTCATAGCCGGCCCGTCCTGGTTCCGGTCTTATTGGGACGAGACGGGCCCGTCCTGAAATTTTTCAGAACTGGACAAAAATAGTACCGGGACGGGACGGGACACAGGACGGGGGTCATCCCGTCCCAGTCCCGTCCCAATATGTATATGTTTTTTTAAAAAAATATGTATATTATATTATGAATTAATATATATTTTTAAATGTTAAAAAGTAAAAAAACAAATAAATATGAATCCCTAAGTCTATTTTAGTTTTCTACTTTCGTTCGCCCTTCCACAGTTCACTACTTCACTTCCGTCGACCGTCGCTATCTTACACTCTTGCTGAAGGCTGAAGCTCTCGTGGACTCACCTCTTAGTCTTCGCGTCTCAGCTATTCTCTCATCTACGAAGTGCGAAAGAGGGCCGCATGAGAACAGTGCTCAGTGCTTACTAATTCACTCTACCTCTCTCGTCTCGACTTCGTCTTTCACTCACGGTCTCACTCGCCAGTTCTAGCCTCATTGAAGTCGCAACCTGCTTAGCTTCTCTTCCCCCCCAGTCTGTTGTCGGCATGTGTCTTTGCTATAGACTACACACTCGCCTCATCTCGTCTCCAAGCCATCGATTTCTGTTTTCTCTGTTTCTCATACCCGTGAGTTTTCATTGCTTTTCTTGATCTTGGGAGTCTTTAAAAATCCTTTTTAATATCTTTTTCTTCATCCATGCTTGTTGATTTCATCTTAATAGCCAACACGATATTTTGTCTCTTTGTATGAATATGGACTATGGATTGGCCAATTGGGATCTGTCTGATATTCTTCACAAATGAGATAGAGAAAAGAAAATCTTTTGTGAAATGAGTAAAACCCACCGTGTTATTTGCCTCATTCGCTGGTTCTTTGAATTCCTGATTGTTGAATTCTTTTAAAATTATATGTATCATTCTTTGGTTGATGGTTTGTGAAGTAGTAATATATATAATTGTCTCCAGCTAGCTTTATTGTGAATATAACGTTGGTTATATTCAAAAAATATATGACAATTGATGCTTGTTAGTTGTTCCTACTTCCTGTCCCGTCAAGACCATCACATGATTAACTTTGTTTTTTACTGTCCTATTTGTTGAATACTTGAATTATCATGATGTTGCTGAGTAATAATTTATTTTCAGTGTATCCTCACTATATATTGCACGAGCATTCAATAAATGAGTAGATATAAAGCTATCTTCATTATGTTATTGCTTAGATTGTAAAATTGTTGATATATGAAAAGTAAATCTCCTATTGAGAGGCCCACATCATTTAAAATCTCTCTATTAAAAGGCCCACAGCATTAAAAAAAAAAAGTACGGGACCGGGACCGGGACAATATCGGGACGGGACGGGACACGGAACAAATTCCTTGTCCGTTACATTCATTAGGACAGAACCGGGAGGGCCGTCCTGGTTCTCGACCCGTCCCGTCCCATGAACAGCTCTAGTTCTTATTTCTCTCAATCCTTAATCCTTCAAATCTTAACATTTTTTTATCTTGAAATTTTTTATTGTAATGACATTCATACCAAAGGAAAAAATTTAACCCAAAAAAAAACAAACAAAAGATCATGATAAAGCTTTTATTTGAGCAAAAAACAGAGATCATACATTCCAACCAAATCATAAAATAAGCCTGTAGATTAAAAATTTGAAATTTGATTATTGAGTGACTATTTACTAGTAAATTTCATATTTTTAATCCAATTTTAAAAATTCATAACTAATTATAAAAAAATTCAATTGAGGTAATTTGAATCTTTATTTAAAGCTCTTTCAATCATCTATAGGAAAAAATATAAATCTTGAGATAAATCTTCTCAATTTGTACTGTTTATTTGGTTAAACAATACATTTTCATATTCTCTACCCTAGCTTTGAGCAATTGTATTTCTTAGCACACACATCCAATTTAGATAATCTACCACTTGTTTTAAAACTTAGAATATGTACTAACCGTTCATCAAATTTTATGGGTAGATTCTTTCATCTTTTTATCTTCTTTACTTTGTCACAAGTTTACTGCTTATAGTAGGAAAATTTATCACTTTACTTACATTAACGTGTTATAAACCTTTTTTATTTTGCATGCAATTATTTCAATAATTCTTAAAAAATTATCATACATCATTATACTCAGTTATACTTGTCATTCTCATCATTCATCATTATATAACATTAATGGCATATTCATATCATACATCAGCATAATAGAATTCATAACATAAATATATAATGTCATACATTTTCAGAAATTTTCGGGCATAACTTTCTATATTGTCTTTTCTAACCTGAAACTTTTTAAAATTACAACTAGTATCCTGCTAGGATTTAGCCTCGATAATCATCTCTTTTAAGGTTTTTAGCATGTCTTTTGGCCCATATTCATATCAAATTCTCACACTCAACCCCCGATACTTCGTTGGAGTCTCTATCTTTCTCGTCTCTTGATCCAAAAAAATTTCTCTTTATCATTTAATCCTTGAGAGTTCTTCTATCAATTTAGAAAATTCCCAAGACTCTTGTCAATTGGGTTCATTAGCCTGCACATTTCAGGTGATTTCTTACACTTTTAAGATCAAAATTTGAGATGTTATATCATCGGTTGCAAGACAAATAGCAAACTCAGGATGGAGATCCTAGGCATAATAACTGAATGTTTGAGAAGTTGACACAAATATAATATGAAATTATCCCATCCGGTTTGAGTACTTGGACCACGTAAGCAATTATTGGCCTAATAAAACTAAACGTCCAATGATAAGTATTTTAGATAAACACATAGGGCATAACATTAAATTTGACTATGATACCAAGGCTTTGATACCATGTCAGAATTTGAAGGATTGAGAGTTGAGAGAAATAAGAACTTTAGAATATTACTCCTCTGGTCCTTAATATAAGACCCAATTGTTGAGTTGGTTTTGGTCCTAAATATAAGACTCATTTCTCATATTTATCAATTTTTTCTAAATTACCCCTATGAATACTCCCCCAACCACAATCAAACAGAAGAGGGAGAGAGGGTATTAAGAAAGATGATTATGGTTTTTTAGGAAAAAAATGTGTCACATTTTTTATAATTAACTAACTTACCTAATTTCCTTAATCTAATCAAATTAGTTAAATGAGTTTTATATTAAAGACCGAAGGAGTATTAATAATTCAATAATAAGAGTACAGATGGGCCTTTATATAGGCAAATTATAACCTAACAAACTAAACCTAGAATCTTATCTAATCTAATCTAATCTTAGTATCTCAAATCTATTCTTCTAAGATACGATAGTGTACTATAATCCTAGATAATATTCTAATATAATTCTAAATGACATAATATAATTAATTCTAATATATTTTCACATAAACAAACACAATTTCAATTAGAGATAGTTATATTTTTTATCCTTTAAGTTTTGTTCTCATTTTGTTTCTAATCCTTCAAGTTTTAAACCATAGATTTTGGTCCCTTAAAAAACAGTAATTCAAATTTTTATTAAATTGCAGGGACTAATATTTTAAATGAAGAGAAACTTAAGAGACCAAAACCTGTTGTTTGAATAAACTTATAATGTTTGTATTAACCCCTATAATATTATAAAAAACGGTAAAATATTTAATCAGACCATTTAATAAACTTAAGGGATCAAAATCAAAATGAAAATAAACTTAAAAAACCAAAGTTTGTATTAACCCTTATAATATTATAAAAAAAAAGGTAACACATTTAATTAGAGCATTTAATATAATACTCATTTATCATATTTATATGATAGAGAGAAAAGATATTTTTTGGTTCCAAGAAATTTTTTGTATCGATGTACAATTTTATGCTTCATTTATTATTGTATTTACTTTATTTACATGAGGTATAATGTATATTAAATAAAAATAAAGTTGAAAAATTGTTGAATTTTAAACGAGAATTAATAAAATTTAAAGTTTTTCTTGATTTGTATAAAACATATTAAAAATGACTTATAAATAGGATCATATAAGTATATTAAACTGAAAGTTGAAGGTCAACCGTAGATTGATTAATGCCCACTCCAAAATCTTATCGTGAATTGTGATTGTTACTAGTATTTTGCAATATGATGACCAAAACAAAAAAACGACAAGGCATTCGAATTGTCACATAGTTAAAATTCATGTGGATCTCATTTAATAAGACTCGTGTTATTGTTATTAATGTAGATAAAGTCAAGAAGATTTTATTTTTTTGATAAACAAGAAGATTTAATTTAGATGTCCTCGCGTTTTTTTTATTTATTTACAATTCGGGAGTTAGTTCTTGAATTTAGAAAGAATACACAAATAGAATAACAAAAAGAAAAAATCTGTTTCCAATTCGAATGAAGAAAAAAAAATATTGTTTCCAAAAATATTAATAGAAAAACATGCTGAAACACGTGCTGATTAGGATCTTAAATAATCGAAGCAAGCTTTCTCACAGATGTGACAATTTATTGATATAAACAAAGCCTCTTCCTAATTAATTGACTAAGTTAAGCTAATTTTGGTTTTCTTATATCAATAATTAAATATGGACATAGGTCAACAAATCTCTCCAGGATTTATAGATGGCTTGTTTGATATCTTGCGCATGCTGTAATAAAAAAGGTTAGATTTAAGTTTTTCAATCAAATCAAACTTCTTTAGGTAAATAAATATGACCTATTTACTTTAAACTCCTGTTTATATACACACATAATTTTTTTTTTAACTCATGCATCTTATATGATGGTGTTCAATTTAGAATTCAAAATTATGACCTCATTCTTAATAAAGCTTTAACAGAGTACTTCCAATTCAACTGGGTTGTAAGGCTCTAACTGCAAGCATAGAATTGGTATCTATATTTATACATAAATATATATTACTCCTTCTTGTCTTAAATGTACTACTCGTCTTATAATAAGGACCCGAGGAGTATAATTTATACTATAAAAATAAATTATAATTTAAATAAATTTTACTAAATTATTTACAAGTTACCTATATTAATACTTATTATTTATTCGATTGTTAAGAATTGGGCTAAATTATAAAGGCTTTAATATGTTATTCTACACATCTTAAGCATTATTAAGTTAATATTTACTCAATATTCAATTTTTATGAATTTTAACTATAATTGTGCATCACATGACGTAAAAAACTTGTGGGGATACCGCTCGGATATTTTTCCACCCCCCCAGACCGGTATCGACTCCTGGGTCCTCAGTCCCTCCCGCGCCGTCCACGGAGGTGAAGCTCTGTATCTGCATTTGCCGCCTCCCGCCTCCACCGCCCTCATTGCCTCTACCCGCCTCATAATCTCCGTCGTTGTGAACTGTGGTTAATCAGCCGGTTGAGCTGCCCTCGCCGATCGATCGAAGAGAGTACATCCGTTGTCATATTTCTGTTTTCCTTGAGTTCTCATCTTCTCTCCCTTTCGCCGAACGAGACCTTTACGATTTAAGACGAAGAAGACTGACTTTAAATTTGCTTTCTGGATTCCTTCCCTTAACAGCAATCACTAGTAGACACAAGAACCCTAAAACAAGGACCAGTAATGGGCAAGACTAGTGCAAGGTACGTGACAGCCCGAACTTCCCTTTTGTTTCCTTTCAAATTTGAACTTCTCTATTTATCTCGGTACGCTCCGCTTCCTCGTTCTGCTCCATCTCCTTGCTTTTATCCTTGATGAATGCAGACCAGGATCAAAAGCTGAGCGCAAGTTTGAAAAGAAGCTCGAATTTTATGGCAGTAAGTTTTTTTTTTTTT